TGAAGACAGCTATATCAAGGGGTTGCAGAATATGGCTGGAATACGGGGGTAGTTTTAATATGACATTTTCTTTCATTGCCGCCTCAATTAACTTTATTCCAATGTGTGTTCACCAAATGTTTTAAATATTATTATTTTTGTAACAGTTTTTAAAAATTGGTGTTTCCATCCATCCTTTTAAAGTGGCAGCATATGCTACACTAGGGTTACTTTCATCCGGTTCTGGAGCCATCCATTCATCATATACATCTTTACCTTTAAACACTATTAAAGTCACTGCCATTTGTTCTGCAGCTCATAGAACGGTTGTATTTTTCCTACCTGAGCCACTGGTGGTTCGGGTAGAGGGCACTCCAATTGCTCCCATTACTTTGGTTCTTAGGTTCCATACATGCTCTGGTTTATCCATAATCCCCAATTGTAAAAGAATGCCTTTAAGAATTTCAAAAATTAATCATAGATAATGAATGAGTCCATACATCTACGACTGGCAATTTCGACACTCTGTGCTTTTTTTAGAGAAAGATGGTGTCTCTGTTTAAATGCAATAAACCAGTTCGGTCCTGTAATTCCATTCTTAAATCTTGTTTTCAAACTATTTCGTTTCACGTATTCATCAATACCTTCAATCTCTTCTTAATCCCCATTTCTCCATGACTCTTAAACACTCTGCTATGTTCTCTTCATTTTCAAAGCTTATATCTGTATTTCTTCTTAAACTTTTACTCTTTACTTCTCTTCTTCCTGCCAAATGATAGTCAATATCGATCTTGGAATTTGATAGACAATACTGACTCTTTTTATACTAATTGTCTTATATTTAATATTTTCTAACGCAGTTATTAAATTTTCTTTGGTATAAGTAGTGGCCCCATTTTTGATTTTTTTTTTATATTTTCTTCAATTTTTGAAACCTAAAATATAAAATTGTTACGTTATTCGCTACAAATGGGGTAAGTGCGTATTGTAAATGACGCACTTTCTCTTTCAGTAAAAAAATTGGGGAAAGTGCGACACCATCTTTAACTTTTAGAAAATAAATTAATAAATATATTTTTATGCTGCACAGTATCCAAAGAAAAATTCCTTACAAACTTGCTGAACGAGATATTACAAACAGCTTATGTTCTGGTGCTCACTGACAACAGACCTTGAGCGGCGGTTTTGCCATTTAACTAGGATGGCTTCAGTGAACTATAATTTAAAATTTTTGACAAAGATGGCGTACCTATGTCTAACAGGAATAAATTTTTAACGTGATGATGCTCTTACCCCAAAAACGAACTTACCCCAACTTACGTGAATGATGTTATCATTGAAAAACCAATCAGGTATATTTCTGTTTCACAATTGAATGGATACATTAACAAAAGTTATGAAAGTTAGGAGAAAACAAACGACCTTTACTTATATTGTCTTTGATTTTCGAGTTGTTCTCGTCCAAAATAATATTTTTCTTTAAATAAATAGTTTATCATTTCGATCTACGTAAATCAATGAAAATTTCTATTCTATTCTACAATTTTGCGGACAATAAATTATTTTTCCATAAATCCATGTAAATAGGTACCTACATTATTTTTGAAAAGTCTTTGTTGCAATCTCGTATGTTTTTATATTTGATAGTCTTATTTATTTATTAATTTATTTATATTTACTAAACAATAGCTGCATCCGTTAACAACAAATTTTATATTTATAAAAATTAATCTTTGTTTTGTATATATTTTCACAATCTAGAAAATGTAAATACTAATTATTCTGCTGCATGTAACTATTCAGTTTTATTAAGGTGCTAGATTAAAATATTATTTAAGCTATTTCGCATAAGTACCGACACAGAACAGGTTGCGTGTTGGGCACCCCAAAATATGTACCCCTAAGAAGTTACGGAAGCCTGAAGTGGAGCCATACATTTCGAAAAGATTTAATATCTCTGCAGCAGTTTAACTTAAAAAATCTATATTTGGTAAATTACTTAAGCACTTCATGAGTCTTAATTTGAGGGTGAGTAAGAATTAATTGAAATATTTTTAGGAGTGGTTTTGGGGTAACCCACCCTTTTAACTATACAGAACTTGTTTGTCTATTGTCCGATTTTTAAAATTTTCATTTCATTTTATGCAAAATTCTATTTAAAAACTTTTTTACTTTTAATTTTTTATCAAATTTAATATTATTCGAGAAAAACGAGAAAAATTCAATCAATGCATTATGATAATGTTAATATATTTGACAGAACTCGTTAGGGGTACAAATTAGTATAGAAATAAATAAATTTAGGTTATTAACCGACTTCAAAGAAGAAGGAGGTTCTCAATTCGTCGTAATGTTTTTTTTATGTATGTTCAGCGATCATTCTTTTAGTCAGTCAGGTAGAGACAGGTTTAGGTACCCCATTTTCGCATACAAGCCTCGAAGAGGGTTGAAAAGTACATCGATTTTAAGTAGAATGAAAGGAAATTTAAGAGTGGCTTCTGGGGATAACAAATGGAAAATTCGATTTTCCCTAACAAAAACGAAAGGTTATTTGTTGCCCATTTTTCCACACAAGCCGTTTTCACTATATGATTAATTAATAGAACTAGGCTTCGGAAAACCAAAGGCTTTAATGTTGCAAGTGGCTAAAGGGTTGAAATAAGGACGTAATCTTCTAAGGAAAAATCGATATTTTGTCCGATTTTTCCACACAAGCCCATCGAATGTACGTAAACGTACGTCGTCACTAGTCCAAAAAACATATTTTCTTGAATGACCCGAATGTGTAAGTGCATTTTGGGGTCGGAAAATTTTTCTGATGAGGAAAATCGAATTGTCCATGTGTTATCCCAAAGAGTCACTCGTAAATTTTCTTTTATTCTACTCAACATCGATGTATTTTTCAACCCTCTTCGAGGCTTGTATGCGAAAATGGGGCATCTAAATCGGTCACTGTCTGACGGTCTATTTAACACAGTGTCCGATTTCAATGATTCTTTTTTTGTTAGAAAGGGGGTACTTTAGGGGTGGTCCCATATAAATTTGGTCAAAATCTAATAATTAGGTCCATGAGAAAAATCCTCAAATTTTTCATTTTGTATGTACGTTTAGCGATAATTCTTTACCACCTTGTCCGATTTCTATGATTCTTTTTTTGTTAGTAAGGGGGTACCTCAGGAGTGGTTCCATATAAATTTGGTTAAGGAGGTCCTTTCGCCACCCCTTTCGCCACCAATGTTAAATAAAAAATATTAGATTATGACTAAAATTTACTTTTTTTCTAATAGTTGAAGTCCTTATTTATCTAATGTTGAACTTTTAACTATACCTTACCGTGCAAATTTTTGAGAATTTTTTTTTTTTTTAAATGTATTTGTATAGTGTCTTACGAGAAAATAAGACCTCAACAACAATTCTCGAATTATATTATTATTTATTGATTAGATAGAGTAGAAAAAAAAAACTAAAAATAGGGTTTTTGAAATATTTAGGTTTTGTTTTAGTCATAATCTAATATTTTTTATTTAACATTGGTGGCGAAAGGACCTCCTTAAGATGTGGTGACGGCATCTGTACGATTTTGAAGTCGGTTTTTTAAAATTACTTTTAATACTTGTATCCTTGCAGTTCTCCACTTTAGTGATAACATCGTGGCAAGTAAAAGTCCAAATATACTCACTTCAGGTTTACTAATCATTCAGGGTATCCAGGTGTCATATTTTCACGGTTTCCCAGTGGGCACAATTTTATGATCACATCCACAATGATTCCGGTATGATAGAAATAGTTATTGATTTTCTTTATCAAGATTAGTTTGAAAATGAGTGGGATAACCTCATCGCCTACCACTCTTCGAGCATATATATATTTCATATAGTCCGCATTCAATATCGTTTGTTTGGGTTTAGAGGAGAAATGCTGCGGACACTATAAACAGTGTCGCATCGTTTTTACGGAATTTGCAATTAATATAAATAATAAATGAAATACACACCTTCAAAATAATTTTTTTTTTTAAATTTGGCACTTTTTTATAGACTTGCATTTAAATATCTAGTAATAGTCAATAATTATTATTTACATCAAATAAAGAAATCTTCGAGTGTTACTTTCCTGTATTCAGAAGAAAAATATAAGACTCTAATAACTTTAGGTACAGGAAAGGCGTGTATTGGTCACATCAGCTTTTTTTATACAAACATCAGGATGTGTATAAAGAAAAAGGGAAAGTTGAAATAATAGGCAATAAAAAAGATTTAAAAAGCTAAAACCTTGATTTTTAAGAACAATCCATCGCTAAAATCACCTTAGAAGTTTGTCGATGGAATGCGTTCGCGAAGTTCGCCGTATTTAAATATGCGCTGACGTTGTTAGGTTATAATACTCCGGTTACTGCAGAGGAAGATATCCCGCATGGTGTCATGGCGGTGCTGACGTCATGCGTAGAGTTAGTAGAGTTGGCGCGAAATAAATATTATATGACAGACGCACGTTGCAGTAGTTTGTTTATAGTGATTTATAACATTTTAAGCCGATATTTATATTATATTATCTTGTAAACTTTGTTCGTTGAGAGTGGTATTAGTTAAAAACGTTCAAAACATTCGGTACGGATGTAACAGTAACAATTAGAGTAATGGACTCAAGAAAGATATTATGTTTGTTCCCTTTCCTCGACAGTAAGAGCTTAGTCAGATTCGGTTCATTTTTTAGTGAACGCTTCGGCTTTTCCATTGCCCTCCACATCGCTACTTCCCCTCTTTATCAAGACTATCTATTCTTTTATGACTGGGCACCCATATCATCGATTTATTCGAAAAAACAGCTGCCGTCCTCACATTGATTTTGCCAGTTCCTCTTTCAGAGCTACCCTTACTTTAAATCTATTATAACTAGAAACAAAATAGTATCAAAATAAAACTGAATACTTATACAATAAATCTAGAACACTGTAGATTATAGCACTTTTTTTTTAACTGATCTAATCAATAAACTCGATATGGTTGATACTTCGATTTCAGAAAGAAAAATGAGTCTTAAAAGAGACTCGTTGGAAAGAAAGCATTCGGAAAAAAAGCGCAGGGCTTCTAGGACGAAGGTCGAGACTGCCCTGAGCGTCGAAGAAGATGTTACGCAATTTGGATTCGAGAATAGAGCTTTCCCGATCATATTGGACAACAAATTAGAAGCTGAACAACCGCGGTATTGCAGTCTAGCACAATTCGTAGAAGGTAATGTCCTTTATCATGAAAAACGTAATTATCATCATCATATCGATCTTTCTTTCCATTTATTGGACTCAACCACAATTAATTCTGTGCTTCTCTTTTTTCTAGTGATTGTATTTAAATTTATTTTCCAAATACCGTACTATAATAGTAATTTATGTTACAAGGACGAAAAGTACGAGACATAGTTGAGCTTGGCAACTCGTAGATAAAACACTTTTCGTCCGTATTTTATGCATTTTTTATTCGAATGTGTTTTGATATAAAAAATATATAGAAAATAAATCTGAAATGATATTATTGTTAAAAAGCAAACTGAAAATAAAAAAAAAGTTTAAGGATCGGAGGAGATTGACTTTTTTGGCCTGAGTAGTAAAAGTATTTTGTAGCAGCTCATTTGAAGTTTATTCGCTCCGTGCGAAGTCATGGAAAGGGAAGCAAAAGCGATACTAGCGCTAGCTGCGGATAATTCATGCATTTTAGGGCGATATTTTGTAATTTTGGCATATCAAATACACGTATACATTTTACTTTTTTTCAAAAAAAGTAGGTAAAAACAATACAATAAGCAACCGGGGTTGCTGTGTTGAAAATTGAACAAATACTAGCAAAAAAACAGTGAAACTTATATAAAAAATTTCAGTAGCAAAGTGGAAATTAAATCAAAGAAATAAATGGATAGATATACAATAAGAAGAAAAATTACCTTTATTTTTGTAATAATAACCGTAATGCTGCAAATAGTAGACATCAGAAACTTGAAAGGTTTTAAATCAACAATAAATTATCATTTTACCATGTTCTTTAATATCCCTTATTCTTAAATGTTCATTCAGCAAGGACTAGATTTCAAGATTTCTGCCTTTGATTATTATGTGTGGTTGGAACGCAATTTTGTAACTAACTGATGGGAAATCAGTTTTAATCATTCATTCTATGTTTTCTTTCGAACAAAAATGAAAATATAAGTAATGATCCTTCTTTTATACATTTTAACTTCACGCTATTATTAAATGGTATTTTTTTATTTTGACAGATTAGACTAATTCTTCAATGAAAACTTATTAGACTTAGGCAACTTCTCATACAATTTCCAGTAAATACTGTTGCCTGCCTATATTTTATTATTCATTTTTATCGATTATACATAATTTTCTTTAATTTAAGCGATAAAAATATATAATAATAATAAATTAATGTTTTACTTGTTTTACAAATCCATATACTTTTATTAAAACTACCATATATACTTTTTAATTACGAATTCTATTAAAAATTGCATTTGTCAGTGTACGCAGAAATAGTCCATTAGTATCAAAACGAATTGGCGCTGCTGTCGCGCACGGAGCGAATAGAAGGTTCTATTTTTAGATTATTTTTTGTACGAAAAACGACATTTTTTATATATTCGAATAAAAAAAGTTCTTTTCATGATTTTAATGTACCATTTCAACACAATAAATGACAGTTATTATAGATGTTTCAACTTTTTAAAAAATATGGGCCTAAAATGAGTATAGTTCTAAAAAATCTACCAGAGGTCGTTAGTAAATGGTGTACTAATACTACGTTTGAATATCCACATCCGATGCATTGTTTACATTTCGATTTAAAATGAGATGTAGAAGAAAAAGAGAAAAAAAAATTTTCACCTTGAATTTGACTTATGAGACAGATGGAGAGAAATATTAATAGACCGTTATAAATGCTATACACTGAGAAAAATATTGAAAATAATATTTTACCATACTTATCGTGCATAAAATTTATGTTATAAAATATTGGTTTTTATTACGTTAGTTTCTATCATGTTTTTGGCACTTTTAATTTGATTTTTCTAAAAACAAAAATGAAAAACATGATAATAGACCTTTCCCAGTATTATTGATATCTATACTCATGCGCATATCCTACTTCCTGTTGAATTTAAAAATGTATTGTTGCTATGTTACCTACTCTGAGTTCCAATTACATACATCCGTAAATGTTATTTTTAACTTTTATTATTGGTAGGGGAGCGAGTGGCGCTTTTAAGTGTGTTATTTGCGCAAGGCATAATACAAATATTTCGTTTATTCTTACCTTGTAGAACATGGAAATACTTTGCTAGCGATGGAGACCTCGATGAGGACATCTTTAGAAAGTATGTTTAGATAATACCTTGTGCAAATGTGTAACAAAAAAGTGTCACTGGCTCCACTACTATATAGACTAGGTGACATCCATATAGTATAGATGACAGTTGTTTAAAGTAACGATGACAGAGGGTAATCGTCGTAGCCAACCCAACAGTTATAAGGCGAGGATAAGACAGATAAAAAATAGATTATATATAAAATTACTAGATTCAAAAGTCCCGCGCTTTTTTCGATCATGTGTAATGTGAAATTGTCGAATAACGGGAAAGGTGGATTGTCAGTTTTTTAAACAGCAAATCAAACACATTTTTATAAAAATAAAATATATTTTTTCCTCAAACAAAACGAATTGCAAACAGCAAGAATCATGACTTAACTATGTATATAGTTAAACTGGCAAGTTATATATGTGGCAAGCGTGTTGAAATTGAAATGACAGTTGGCCGGTTTAACTCCCACTCCATTTTTTTGGCGGGAACGACTTTATCGCTTCTCTGTGGTTGTTATCCTAGAATTAAAATTCACAATATCTCAGATGCAGCATATATGAAATCAAAAAATGACGGCTAATTGTCAGAAACAATGAGTTAATTTTAGCTTTTATCAAGCGAAAAATACATATTCAATTTTTTAACAAAAATGGTAATTTATTAAAGTTTACTAATAATTATGTAATAAACGAAATAAAAAATTAAAATGATATGTAACACAACCCGTTATTACTGAAAATTTCAATGTAAGAAGCCAGTCTTCTTTAACAGTAAAACAATGTTGAAAAGCTTTTGTGGAAAACGATGTAAAAAAGTGTGTTATATCCTAGAAATGTTCAATTTCATTCTTATCCATATTATTCATTGTTAGTTAGGTGTGTGTACATATATTTCATCAAAACAAAGTGAGGAAATTACTATTTTATATCGTTTTTATAATGTACATGCGACTTCTGACGGATTTTTTAAAACTTTATGTTAGGGACATATTTTAATTTGTTTTTATATGGTTGTGAAGTTGGAACAGCTATAATAACTGTCAGTCAACTCTTCGTGCATTTCATTCTATCTTTCCACTATTGCACCCGTCTTGTAAACTAGACTCATCGACTACAACATCCTCATTTCACCAACATATTGGGTGGCGAAAATTTAATCAAACACAATGGGCCAAATTTCGTTAACCGTTATAGATGCAAAATTGGTTAAATTGGAAAAACTATGTGTATTTTCAATAAGAATGTATTGATTCTTTTAAAATTAAAATATCAGGTTTGTTTTTCGAGATATTTAGGATTGGGATATTCGATTTATTTAACACCTTTGTTTTTTAAGATATAAATAAACCTCATTATGCTTTTTATTGAAGGTGAAATGCCGCTTATCACTTTAATGAGGAAGACTTCAACCGCATACGTTTTTTTTTTAATTTGGTGGTAATATTTATAGCACTATTTTTTGTGGTACCTACGCGTATGTCCCACTCAGAGAAGGGAAAACTAAATAAAACTTAGCACGTCGCGTAGCCTAAGCTATACCAACATTTTTGATTATTTTTTTATAACTATTCAATTTAGTTTAGATTTTGCTAGAGTACCATCAAAAGGAACTTACAGAAAGATGCTACCTTTCCTTGTTGATTACTTCTGTTCGCACTTTAATAAAACTGCAGCACTTTTGATTGGTCGTAATAATCGTCTGTTTCAGGTATAAATACCAACCACATTTTGACAATTAGTTGAACCCCAGTATATATACCAATCAGTATTGGCACTCTGAGGCGGCACGTTTGATCTTTAAAAGTGGAAATTTTAGTTGACACTTGACGTTTTCGGGATATGAAAAGTTTTCTTTACACGGACTTGGTATACCTGGTTAGTTGAATTTTTGTTCTGCTGCTTTTTAAATTCGTGTGTATGAGGGAGATGTGAGATACCTTTATAGACAACGGTTGAACAACTTAATTACTTTGAAGAAGAAAATAGATTAGATATCAGGGCAGTCTTTGCAAATGTAAGAAGGACAGAACCGTTTTAAATTTTTTATATATGTGAAATATTACTTTTTGGTGAAAAGTTTAATTACTTTTAGTTCAAAATATAACGTTAGTTTGTCAAGGGAAATATATAACACACAAGGTTAGAGTAACAAAATAGAGGTATTGCTTTATTTCTTAAGAATTACTCTAATCTAAAACTTTTCTAGTATATTGTAAAAATTTATTCTATACGTTATTTAGGTACTGCAAAATCTACAGGAAAGTATGTAGTTTTAAATGTAAAAATTTGTAACGGAGACATATTTAGTGTAGTTTTTTTACAAATATATACTCAGTGACTTGTTTTTGTGAATGAGTTCAAGTATGGCCGCAGACTAAAATCGTTATTTTTTATTATGAATTAATTTGAATTTATTTTAAAATGGGAACTATATGTATATGGTTTTCGTAGTTTTTACACTTGTGATAAAAATATCAAAGTTATGTATATTACTATTTGACATTCTTGTAAAACCACTAATTTAAAATTGACTTTAAACTAAGTGACTACACACAGAATTGTTTGAAAGCAGCCATAATGTATAATTTATTTATTGGATACTATAAAAAAATTAATAGTAGTTACATGTAGAGTTAAGTAACAAGAAATTTAAGACCAAAAACAAAACAAACCTTTATATCTAGTGAATTTAATTTAGTACAGTCCTCAACTTTCTTAGGCTAACATTAAAGATATCTATTTGGATCTCGCTAAGAAACTCATTGGTAACAGTCATCATCTTGTTAAAAGGAGATATACTACTTGGATCTAAATCAAATAATTTTTTGTTACTTGGGTTTCTTAGATTAATCTTTGCAGCATTAACATTTATATAG